TTATAAGATCGCAGCTGGAATAGACCTTGAGGACTGTCTGGTCCAACCCTTTCATTGTCCAGACAGAAAATGGAGCCAAGCTCAAAGTCAGAATGAGACTTGTCCACAGTCACACAGCCATGGAGAGGCGGTGGGTCATAGAACTCAGGCCTCTTGGTTCTCAGTCATGCTCATTGGGGTCTGTCCACCATGGACTCCATGGAAACTCAAGTTCCAGTTCAACATGGGAGGAGACATCATAAAATAGTACTTAATGTGCTAGGCTTGGAATCAGACTCTCCTGGATTGAAAGTCTGCCTCAGAAACTGGCTAGCTATGTGGTCCCGGCCCTCGTCCCTCTCAGTCTCAGCTTTCTCCTCTGTAAAACAGCACATACTGCACAAGGCTGTTTGGAGGATGAGTATATGTGTAAAGTGCTCTGCAATATGACACCTGCCCGTGTTTCTTGAGAGTCAAAGTGATGTCATGGAAAGAGCACAGGGCTTAGATTTAGGAGAGTCCTGAGTTCAAATCCTTCCTCTGACACTATGTGACCATGGGCAAGTCACTGAATCTCAGTTTTCTCTTCTGTGAAAGGGGAATAAGACAACCCATATTACCCATGTGAAGGTCATGTGGCTCAAATGACGATAGAGCCAGAGGAATGCCAGCTATTGCTGGGAAGTAGTACATGGGGAGATTAGGAAAGAAGAGCTTTGGCTTTGGAGTCAGGAGGTTTGGCTCTCAGCTCTGCCTCGTCTGACCAGCGTGACCTTGAATATGTCACCTCACTTCCTCAAGCCTCAGGTTTGTCCCCTACTAAATGAGGGGTTTGAAGCAACTGGCCTCTGTGGTCTCCTCCAGCACTGACTCCCCATCTTTGTGTTCCAAGCACATGAGAGGGGCTCAATGCACCTTTTGAAGCGCTCTCAGCTCCAGCAAAGTGCCCGGCACACTCACGGTGATCAGCTGAATTTCATGTTCCAGGCTCTGACTGCAGCGAGGTCTGGTGATTCTGTGAGTTCACAACCAACTGAAATCTAGTTCTTAGCAGTTCTTCACCTTTTTTGTGTCTTAGACTCCTCAGGAGATCTGGTGAAGTCCACAGAGTCTTTCTTGGAATCATGTTTTTAAATGCATAAATACATAGAATTGCAGAGGAAATTACAGATAGATAGATGGATGGATGGATGGATGGATGGATGGATGGATGGATAGATAGACAGACAGATGGATGGACAGACAGATGGAGGGACAGATAGATAGATAGATAGATAGATAGATAGATAGATAGATAGATAGATAGATAGATAGATAGATAGATGGATGGATAGATGGATAGATAGATGGATGGATGGTAGATAGATGGATGGATAGATAGATATATGGTGGATGGATATAGAGACAAAGAAATAGATAGTGTATGTACATGTCTGTGGACCCCAGGTTAAAAACTCTTGGACTGGAAGGTCTATACTGAGTATCCTCCTGAATACTTGTACCTGTGTTGGCCCCCAGTGGGGGAAATGAAAGAACTCTGAGTCCTAAGAGCTTCTGCCATAGACTTGGCCAAGAGAGAAACATCACACAACTGATCTCAAAATCCAGAACTGTCATCACTGTTTGGCTCTTTAGTATCCTCTGCACCCAAGACCTCAGGCAGCTCACAGCCAAGGTAAATGCATGAGATTATTCCAAGAGACAGACAAGCTGCACAGAAACACAAGTACAGATTCACATGGAAAGAGGACAGGGAGCCAGGCTTCTCAATGCTGCTCTAGTAAGAAGCCCCTCCTACTTATCTACAGCTCTCTCTTGTTACTACGCCGAGCTTTACAGCTACGGTATCAAGACCAGTGGAGGTGAAGCTCTCGGTATTAAAGTGAGGAGTACAAGAGAGGGAAGAGAGACTTCTTTGTGGCCCAGTGGAAGCTTGAGCTCTGTCTGCTTTGATTATCTGCCTACAGGCAGCCTCAGAGCACAAGAAATAGTGGTACCATTATTCAGGCTGTTGTCAGCAAATGCTGCCTGCCCCCACAGTTCAATTGTGTTTCCTCCCTGACTGTGGCAGCAGAAAGAAGATGACAGAGGCCCTGCTTTGGAGCCCTGTGGCTCTTTTCCAGTGTTGGCCAATTTCCTCCCCCAAATGGGGGGGGGGATAAAATGGAAGGGGCAGTCTCAGGGTAGCTGGTTTTCCTCTGTGGAAGGATTTCAAACCAAAGCTGGATGGTTGCTGGTCAAGGCGATTCTCATTCGGGTCTGGGCTGGACAGTGTGCCCCTGGAAGCCCCATCCATCTCTGAGAGTCTATGATTAGATGCCAGCCATGGTGATGCAATCAGAATGTATGAGGGCTAGTGAGGAAAGGAGGGGTGACCCCTGAGCTGGGTCTTGGAGCAAAGGAGGGGTTTTACCCGACTGACAGGAAGGAGGGCTTTCCAGAGGGTGAATATACCTTTCCTAAAGCCCTGAGCACATCCTGCCTTATCTTATAATTGTATATATCAAAGGATATCAGAGCTGGGAGGAAGCTAGAACAGAGAAAGGCAGACCTAAGAGGAATGTTAAAACAGAGAACATCAGAGGGGCCTCAGAACAAGGGATGTCAGAGCAGGGAGGGGCCTGAGAACAGGGGATGGCAGAGCTGGGAGGGGCCACACATTAGAATTTAGAATTGTGGAGGCAGGCTGGGGTCTTAGAGATCATCTGATCCATTTTCCTCCTTTTACAGAGACACACAATGAAGTCACTGCTCAGAGGGTAAGAGACTCTCCCAGAATCATAATCTTTGTAAAACCCCTGTGTGATATTTCTCTATTCTCTCAGGTGTGGGCCTAGCACTTTGTGGAAGCTGAGCTCCACAGAGGCTGGGGCTGTGTCCACCTGCCCAGCTCTGAGCCCTGCCCAGAACAGGTGTCTAATGTTTTGCTGAGCTGACATGGGGGGAGAGGAGGGGCAGGGACCACTGTGGATTGTCCTATTTGGCTGAAGCCAGGAGAATGTGGAAAGGCGAGGCTGGAAAGCTAGGCCAGATTGTGAAGGGCTCAGATGCTGTGTTCGGAACTTGAGCCTTGGCCTCATCAGCCCTAGGAAGCTCCTGGTGGATTCTGGGCTCGGGTACGATGTAGCCAGAGCAGGTGGTCCAGGGTGAAGAAGGCGAAACCACTTGTGTCTCTGCTACTGGCTGCTTCTGCCATCTTGGGCAAGAGTTTCGTCCTTTCTAGACTGTGGGAACCTCTTCTGAAGAACGAGGGGGTCAGAGGGTCACAGGTCATCACATGATCACACTTTTACAGCTGAAAGGAATCTCAGAGGCTGTTGTGTCCAGCCTTCTCATGTTACGGTTGAGGAAACTGAGGCACACAGAGATGATGTGACTTGCTCATGGTTACATAGCTACTAATTGTCTGAGGCAGGATTTGAACCCAGGTCTTCCCACCTCCAAGTTCAATGGCCAGATCACTCTAGTAGGAGACAGACCCTAAGGTCCCAGTTATCGTTGCCTTCCTTTAGAGCCCAACCTCAATGGCGTCTCCTTCAGAGAGCCTTCCAGGGGGCTGTGCTGCTCATGACTGGGGGTCAGAATCCCCCGGCCTGCTATGGGCCCCTCTCCTCTCTCATTCACTGTCCATCATAGCCATCCTGGTTTGTGCCATCTCCTTTCTGGGCACACAGTAGGTTCTGAGAACCTGGTGAGGTCTTGGCAATTCTGTGAGAAACAGGGAAGTATTTTCTTCCCCCAACAGGTGTGGGAAAGCGAGAGACTTGGGAAATTCCTCACGCCGGGGCCTGCACCACAGTGGCACAGATGGCTCATCTCTGGGACTCCTTTCCCCCCAAAAGGTGGCCCAAGAGCATCGGGCCAGGCCTGGCCCGGCTCCGCCTCTCTGGTTCTTCAGGCCCCTCCTTCCTGGATTCATTTTCCAAGCAGCTACAATTACAATGGATTAAGTTCCCTCCTCACTTTCCTGGCACAGGTGTTCACTGGCAGCAACAACACGGGTGCCAGTGACTGCCCTGCTGGAGATTCTAGGGACACTGCCAGCCAGATAAGGGGGGGAGTGGGCATCGAGTGTCCGCCCAGACCTGGAATGTCTTGGCTTTCACCCATTCCTGGTGATGCTGAAGAAACAGGTCTACCTCCTTATGGGAATTACCCAAATCTCTTGCTTTCCCACACATCATGGAAAAACACCACTTTGTTTCTCACAGAATGCTGAAGGTCCCTCCCAGCTGGATTGTTCCATGTTCTAAGGCCCCTCCCTGCTCTGCCATTGGATAATCCGCATTCTCAGCATACTGCTGACTCTAGTCTGTGACTCTAGGTCATTTAACCTACTTAAGTCTTAATTTGTTTTCTTGTCGACATAATCTGCCCCACCAACCCTGCCCCGCTCTTACCCTCATGGGGTCTTGTGAGGACCGCTGGAGCTCCTAGATGTGGGAGGGCTCTGTCAATCTTACTTTGTTCATCCGGTGGTTCTTCATGCACGACAAGTCTAGACTTGGAAAACCTAGTTTTTATAGGGTCTTATTGAGAATCTGCTCTCTGGTCCAAGGTGGAATTTGTATGAGGCAAAAAGGGATTTGCGCCAAAGTGTTTACATGGAGGGGGTGAGGGTAGGGGGACCTGAGTTCATGCCCACTACTGCCCCTCAGTCTCATCTTTGGTTCCTCCAGTGGCATGTGCAGGAATGCTCCTGATCACCACCCCAGGGTCCAATCACTGGACATTCCCCTCCTTTCCCTCTTTACCCCAGCTCTGCCAGCTCTTCTCTGGGAAATGCCCTCTCCTGCATACTTACCCCCAAAGTCACCTGCTCTCTGTACTGCTGCCATCCCCCTCTCCCTCCCAGTTTTGCTCTGCGTGTAATTATGGCTAGAACTGGCCCTGGTTATAGCCATAATTATATAAATATATATGTGGCCATGGCTTCATCACTCAGCATTGCTCCCTGGGCACTAGACTCTTGAATGGACAGCAGGTCCTCACCCCCCTCCCCTTCTCTCTCTCTCCCTCAGAGCTCTGTCATCTGTGGTGGCTTTGGGAGCCAATATCATCTGCAACAAGATCCCTGGCCTGGCCCCCCGACAACGAGCCATCTGTCAGAGCCGCCCCGACGCCATCATCGTGATTGGAGAAGGGGCACAGATGGGGATCAACGAATGTCAATACCAGTTCCGCTATGGCCGATGGAACTGTTCTGCACTTGGCGAGAAGACCGTCTTTGGGCAGGAACTTCGAGTGGGTAAGGGATGCTTGTGGAAGCTGTCTGAATCAAATGGAGAGGGATGGGGTAGGAGGCCAGTTGGGGAAATGGCTTTTGGCCTTTTACCAGCCTCATCGGGATGGATGTAGAGAGGTATCTGCCATTCTGCTTTCTGACTTCTCTTGAAATGATATCCCAAGAATCCCATCCTTTTCTTTGTCCAACTAACAGAATCATCCACCATCCCAGTGCGTAGTTCCATGACCCAAACAATACGCTAACCATCCCACTGCCTTATTTCTCAAACAAAACCACATACAAACCATCCAGCTTACTACTTTGGTCACTCCAATGATGCGTTAACCATCTCACCTCCTGATTCTGCAACAAAAATTAATGCATAAATCATCCTAATTATAGAACTGAAATCATACACAAACCATTTCACTTCCTTCTTTATTCAACTGAAAAGATACCCAGAACACCATACTCCCTTATCTCTCCAAATAAAATAAAGTATCCACCATCCCACCTATTTTTGTAACTGGAATGCCTCCCACTCTCCCACTTCCTATAGTTATCTGGAACTCCATTCAGTTCATCTTCTATTAAACATCTATGTCCCTGTTCCTTTTTTCTCCAATTGAAATAAGACCCAAGCCATCTCACTTCCTTTTCCTTGTATGTCCGCTTGAAATGGCCCCGAGACATCTTGCTTTATTTTTTGTTTTTTGTTTTTGGTGAGGCAGTTGGGATCAAGTGACTTGCCCAGTGTCACACAGCTAGTAAGTGTCAAGTGTCTGAGGCCAGATTTGAACTCAAGTCCTCCTGACTACAAGGCTGGAGCTCTATTCACTGTGCCACCTAGCTGCCCCTCCCCAAGACGTCTTGTGGCAGAGATCCCTCCTCCACCTCTTTGTCCATTTCTACATTTCAGTGGCAGGGATGACCCTTCTCTGAAATCTTCTACCTGAGTCTTTGCTCAAGGGTGGACGATCTGTGGAGTGTCTTTGGGCCAATCATGTTGCTTGTGTGGAAGGGAGTAGAATGAATTAATGTGAGCTTTGGGAGGACCTCGAATCCCAGGCTAAAAAGTCTGAATTGGATTCGTCCAGCAATGAGGAGACCTGGGAGGTCTTTGGCCAGAGGAATGGCATGTCATGGTGGGGGTGGGGGCAGAACCTGGCTCAGGTACAAGTTGGACAATGTGCTCTCTGGATATCCTGGGATTCTCACAGCAGTCAAATACTCATCGTTAGGCATTTTGTAGCAGAGACTCTTTCCAGCTTGGCCTGGGTGCTCAGAGATGGATGGTGCCTTTATGCTAATTACTCAGGCTTCACATGCATTGTGTGTGCACGTATGTGCAATGAGCACACACACTCACTTGCATTGAGGTGGGGAGGGAGGGCATTCTGGGTTGCAAAGGTGGCAGAGATGGGAGGTGTGAGTGATATGCTATAAGACTGGAAAGGATGGAAGCCAGTTGACAAAGGATTTCACAAAGCAGTTTGTGTATTTGATTCTGTAGGTCACAGTGAGCTATAGGAGTTTCTTGAGTAAAGGAGTGGCGTGGTCACAGTCAGAGACGTGCATAACCCCAACTCTCCGACTCTAACCGTAACTTCACTTTGGTGGGTGTGTAGAGGCTGGATTGGGGAGACTGGAGGGAGGACAACCAGTCAGGAGACAGTATTGTGAGGGATAATGAGGCAAGGTCCTGAGGTCTTCTGGCCTCCCTCATATTCCACTCTCCCTTTCTTTTCTCTGACTGCCTTAGCCTACCATGAATCTATTGTCCCTTGGACTGTAAGCACCATCATCTCTCTCCATCATTTGGCCCATAATCACTAATGCCTTGTTTCTTAACCTATAGTCCAGAGCTTTGAGGCCCAGCTCTACAACTATCAGCTGTGTGACCTAGGGCAAGGCCCTTGCCCTTTCTGGGCCTTAGTTTCCCTGTTGGTAAAGTGAGGGGCTTGAATCAGCTCCACAAAGTCCCTGCCAGGTCTCAGGTTCTGAGCCAGAGGAGAAGAGCCAGGCTTTGGAGTTTGGGACATGGGCGGCCTGATCGATGTAAAGGCTGTGGGTGGGGTAAACTTTCCATGCCCTGTGGGTTTGGGAAAACCCTGTGCCAGGCTGCTTGGGGGCACTTCTGTGGAGAGGTGGAGAAGCCAGTGGGTGATGTCGGCTCCTCAGCCCCGCTCTGCTCCTCTGCTCATGTGGGGCCCAAAGGCGGCCTCGAGCCCCAGCACTGGCTGGGAGTCCCAGCTCCTGAGGCCTCTTCCCCATCCACCTTGGCCACCCACTGTCTCTGGTTTCCTGTCTGGACTGTGGCTGATGGGGGATCCCCCCGACTCACTAAAGCCTGATTGCCGCATTAGGGACCACCTGGAAACTTTGGCCAGGTTTTAGATGCAAGGTAAGGCCTAATCCAGCCAGGAGCCTGGGGTTCTAACCCCTGTGGTTACACTGGTTAGCTGTGTGACCTTGGGTAAGTGTCCCAACCCCCTCCTCCCCAAAGTGGAAGCTGGATCAAATGAACCTTTCCAGTCTCTTCTGAGAGAAGAGACCCAATTCTGTGAATTTATCAAATGTCACTAGAGCAGGCACTAGGCCTTGGGCAAGGGGGCATGGTCACAGAGCCCAAGAGAGGGACCAAGGGGCTTCCCAGTACGTGATCCAAGTGAGACCTACAGCAGAGGCTGTTGGACAAGATTAGTCCAGCATTCTTATTTGGCCATTTTACAGAAGAGGAAACTGAGGCTTGGAGTAGGGAAGGGACCCAATCATGGGGCACAAAGGTAGCAAGGGACTAGATTCCCTGGCAGATCTCTGCTGATGAGTACAAGTCCAGAGTGTTTTTCCCTCACCATGTGATCATGGCCCCCCTAAACCTTCTCTCCTCTCAGACAGATATCCCAATTCCTGCCCCATCAGCCAGGACAATAGGATACAGAGCTCAGTGGAGCCGAAGACTCTGTTGCCTCTCCCTGCTGCCAGGCAGATGCCATGGCCTGAATGGGAATGAGTGACTCAGACATCAGGATAGGGGTGGGGAGCAGGGCTTCAGACCTAGAAATCCCTCACTTAGATGTCCAAGGTAGGCTCTGAGACTCTCCAGGCTCTGACATTGGGCTGTAAGTGATCAGGACTTTCACAACAGTCCCTTCTGTGAGGCCCAGCCTGATTAATGATTGCTGGTGCTTGGGCCTGCTGGGGAGGGCAGGTGCAACAGTGGGACAGCAGCAGAATGGGAATCAGGAGACCCAGGACATAGTCCCCAGCCTGCCTCAGCCTACTTGCAGGGCAACATTAAGCAAAGCGTATCCCTCTCTGGGCCTCAGTTTTTTCTTCTGTCAGATGAGAGGGTCTGATGAAAGGGGTTTCAGGCTGCCAGAATGGCAGTGGGGGTAACGAAGTCATCATCTCAACATCCTCTGTCCCAGCCAGACCATATTGGAGCACAAGATGCAGATGTGGGCAGCCCATTGTAGGTAGGGCCTAGACAGGGGGACCGGAATGGTGAGGAAGCCAGAGACCAGAGCACTCAAGGAGGGGTCAGGTGCTGTATTTGTGTAAGCTGTTGTTGTTACTGGGAGGCAGTGTTGGCTAGGGGCTGTGGCACTGGTCTCACAATCAGGAAGCCCAGTTCCAGGCCTCCTCCAGCACTGACCCTGAGCAAACCTCCCAAGAATTCTCTGGGGCTAGAAGACTCAGTGAGGTGCTGACTTGTATTTGTAGAAGGAGCTTCCCCACTGATTTGAAATCCCCCACATCAGTGGAATCCTAGGGCCAGGTCTCCAAACATGATGCTGCTCGTGGGGCCCTGGAGAAGATCAGGCCTGGCTTGGCTTGGCACGAGGAGCATGGAGGGGAGATGGGTGCAGTCTCCAAGTACTGGAAGGATTGATGGGTAGAAAAAAGATCTGCTTTGCTTTGTTTGGCCCCAGAGGAAAGATCAGGAGCAAAGGGGGCAAAGATTCAGGACTCAATGTTAAGGAGCTGTCCCAAAGTGGAAGTAGTGAGCTCCCTGTCACTGGAGGTCTTCCCAGGAAGGCTGGAGTACTCATTGTTGGGGAAGTGACAGAGAGGATTTCTGCTCAGGGAGGCATTGGACTGGAGGCCAGGGGTGTCCCTTCCAGCATCCAGGCTCCGGATATGAGTTAGGTCAAGGCTAGACTGTGACCTGGGTCAGGGCTCAGGCTCAGGATAAAAGGAATCAGAAATGTGAGGGCACTCAGCACTTCATTTCAAACTTGATGAAATCTAGACAGAGAGGGCAGTGACTTGGCCAAGGTAACATAGGGATGAATTTTTCTAGCCAAAATTCCAACTGCAATCCTGAAGCTTCCAAACTGGCTTCTTTCCATACTGCTTGTGATCAGAACTTGAACCCAGCACCAGGCTATGGCCCCCATTAGTGCTCGGCTTGCCTGGGCATTTGAAGTCCTACAGGCCCTTCATTGGCCTCCTAATGGAGGAACTCCTAGCCTCATTAGAGGCTGACTTGGGAAGCTCCATGGCTGCTAACAGTGGCTGACCTGCTGAGGGAGTCTGGCAGAACCCAGCCCAGCTGGAGCTCCCTCTGGAGCTGCCAGAGGAGGGGGAGGGGCTCTGCAGGCAGCCAGCCTCTTCCCTCTCCCCCATCCAGAAGAGAGGGGGCCCTGCCGACTTTCCTGCCCTTCCCCCATGGGGTACCCTGGGCTGTGTCCGTCATGTGGCTGCTGCAAACATGACCGAGCATAGGAGACACTAATCTTGCCAGCTCATGTGGAGCAGGATGGGCTGGGCAAGGCTGGCCAGGCTGTGCCCCCACTGAGTCTGCTGCTGGCTGGGGGGTGGTGCTCTGTGCTGGGGGACTGCTTCTGCTCATTTGGAATTCTGACCAGAAGCCATCTGCACTTCAAAGTGGCTCTCTCCCTCTCTGTTTTCTTGACCCAACCTTTATGGTTGCTTATAATTCCATGCAGAAATCAAGAGACAAATTAGGTGCCAGGGATTCTGAGAAGCTTAGAATGTCAGGGCTGGGAGGCCCC